TCGTCGTTAGAAACAGTCCTTGGTCAAGGAGAGGGGAAATCCGCACTTATGAGAGTCCAAGCCGTTCAGCACACGAAGAATACAGCAACCTTCCAGGACCCAAGCCCAACAAGAGAAGCGACAGCAGCAAAACCCAAGGCACATAACCAACACTTTGCCTACTGCAAAGTTTCAAACTTTCAGTGCCTTCATTTATCCTACAACTCATCATCTGTTGATGAGCTGTCCTCTGCCCTTTCTTCATCACTATCAGCTGTCTTACCCATTACAGCTGAGCGCCAACACCCATCTCTCCAACTCTTCCATCTCCTGTCAAGACTTAAGTCTCCCCATGAATCCCTGGTATCTCCAGACTGCCAATCCACAGAAAAACCCTCAAACGTATCACTGGATGTGGGTTGCATGCACACATTCCTGACTTCTTGCACTTGAGTCCAATCCAATGGCTCTTCTTCATCCTCACTACTCCCAGACCCATTACTTCCAGTAAAGCCCATGAAATCCTCATCTTCAGTGGGAGCACTAAGTATGTCCCGGATCCTTTTCCTTTGATGTTCTTCGTCAGATTCCTGCTCCCGAGTAGGACTCCTCTACTCCCATCTCCCTCCTCCTCCACACACATTTCACTCTCTGAGAAACCCTCAAAGGAGTCTTCATCTGTGGGAGACATAAGTATCTCCCGGATTCTCTTCCTTTGTTGTTCTTCTTCTAACACCTGAGCACCTCGTTTCCCTCCTCTACTACTCCCACTACTACTACTACTASTAGTAGTAGTAGTAGTAGTAGTATCATTGCCAGCAGACTCTACTACAACACTATGTCACCCACCTTCACTTTGCCCTATATCAGACTGGATACAGACAAGTCATACTCACCTACAGCTCATMCCTCTTGACCACAAATATTTAGGGGAAAGTGTGTGGGGCTTGATAAATCCAAGGCTGGAGTTAAAATTGCTGGAAGAAACATCAACAACCTTAGATATGCAGATGATACCACTTTGATGGCTGAAAGCTAGGAGGAGCTGAGGAGCCTTATAWCAAAAGTGAAAAAAGAAAGTGCAAAGGCTGGGTTGCAGTTAAACTTAAAGAAAACCAAGATTATGGCAACAAGACTGATAACTGGGAAACAGAGGAAGAAAACGTGGAGGCAGTGACAGACTTCGTATTTCTAGGTGCATTTCTAGGTGTATTTCTAGGTGCATTTCTAGATTACTGATCTCCTGGGGAAGAAAGCAATGACCAATCTTGATAAAATAGTGAAGAGTAGAGACATCACACTGGCAACGGAGATCCACATAGTCAAAGCCATGGTATTCCCTGTAGTAACCTACAGATGTGAGAGCTGGACCATAGGGAAGGCTGAGCAAAGGAAGATAGACACTTTTGAATTGTGGTGCTGGAGGAAAATTCTGAGAGTGACTTGGACCGCGAGAAGATCCAACCAGTCCATACTTTAGGAAATAAAGCCCAACTGCTCATTGGAGGGAAGGATATTACAGGCAAAGATGAAGTACTTTGGTCACATCATGAGAAGACAGGAAAGCTTGGAGAATACAATCATGCTGGAGAAAATGGAAAGAAAAAGAAAGAGGGGCTGACCAAGAGCAAGATGGATGGATGGTATCCTTGAAGTGACTGGCTTGATTCTGAAGGAGCTGGGGGTGGTGACGGCCGACAGGGAGCTCTGGCGTAGGATGGTCCATGAGGCCACAAAGAGTTGGAAGCAACTGAATGAATAAACAACAAGTACCATCTTCAAATATTTGTACACCATCTTTATTGCATATCTTGAGGTTGTGCACATGCATGCACCCACATCTCTATTTCGGCACCTAGCTCTTCCCTCACTACCTTGTTCTTGGTACTCTCTAGATACCACAGTCATCTCAGCAATGGCAGTAAGAGCAGCAGCAGAAGAAGGCTGGTCTGTAAAGAGCAGAGAAAGATCAAGGCAGCTCCCAAGACATCTGAGTCCTGCCATCCATTTGGAAAGAGCAGGAGAGGTTTTGAAGACCCCACTGCCCTCTTCTGGCACTTTCTCTGCAGTGGAAAACTTTTCCATTGAACCCTTCCCAACTCCATGCTTAGTGTCATCCCCTTTAATGGTATTACCCTGTGTGGTCTGTACTCTTTAGTTCAGACCACCATTTTCTGGCCCATTAAACCAGACACTGCCTAGGCCTCCTGACAAAGAAATATAACTGAATCTATGGTTTCTCACTCTCCGACATTTACGCAGCACCAGATGCAACCTATTCAGTTTTGTAGTCTGAAGAATAATACACAGCCAATTAGGGAAAACAATTGGCGCTTTTTCTTTAAACAAAAATTGGGTGCTATTAGCAAAAAATGAAACAGAGAGAGAGCGGCTTCCGTTCCAGAGATCTCCAAGTTGTAAGCTTTTTAAAAGCGATATAAATATGTAGCAATAGGCCAATTGCAACCCTCCAGTTTGCAGCTGTTCCCTAGAGAATGCTCACTCAAGTTGCACTTCAAAAGACACCAGAAAAAGAGGGTGACGAGTATGAAATGATTTTCAAGAGTTTCCCACAAAAGGATGAAACTTTGCAGTAGCAAAAGAAAATGGCACTTGTCTCCCTCTTACTTCCAGTCTAATCAGATCCCAATGAGCCGTGCGCAGCAGATGTAAAGGACAATTTTCCACTTGAACAGGAAATTTAAATAAAATTTGTACATTTCCCCAGAACTCTGCGCTTGCCTTCCACTTTTCCTCCCGATATTTCTGCCAGCTCGATTTTCCTGAATGCAAACAAACATTGCTTGGAGGAGCGCAAGATGACAGCGAACCTCTCATCTTCAGAAAAAAACAAAAATGGAATGTCTCCGGATTGACTGGAAATGGCCAAATGAGCATATGGATTATTTAAAAAGGCCATGTAAGGTTATTTATTGGTTGGCTTTGTACTCCTCCTTTCCCAGGTGCATCTGAGAGCAGTAAACATGCTCTCAGATGCACTGTCTCATTTGGAAACTTTGGGGAAGACAGCTTCACTTTTGAACATGGAACTTCTTCAAGAGGATTCAGACAATTATGTGGTTTTTCCAGATGTTTTGGATTAGAGCTCTTATCATCCTCTTCTCCTGATAATCTAGATAGATCTAAGGCTGCTAGATCAATAGATTGTCCAGAGGAAGGCAACCAAGATGATCAAACTAAGCCTTATAAAGAATGACTTACAGATCTGAATATTAGATCCCATCAGGCAGTGTTCACATCTACCTGTGAATGAGACAATATCCATCAAAAGAATACATTCTCCTCATATACTCATTGAGGTACAAACTTTTCATATTGAATGCACTATTAGCAAGTAATGGTCATGGTCTGGCTTGGTTACTAGAAGGCAGGAAAGGGAATAATCCTGAAATATCTTCTGTTGTTTGTGCTTATGTGGACATTTTAAGAAAAGATGCAAATCTTTACCTATTTCATCCTTGAAGACAGGAACAAATAATTTCCATAGCTGCCTTTGTGTAGTCTTTGCACATCCCGTATTCAGACATCTAAAAGAGTTGAAGAAAATAGTTCTGCACAGAAATGCATGGGGTTTTTCTACACCAAGAACTGTCCCAGGCTCCACTGTTGTTTTATTATTTCCAGTTCAATTTCTTGCGGGTTGGAAAACCCTTATCTTGGGCAAGGAGTGATGAACCTTCCATCCACAAGATTTTTCTGCATTAAGGCACAAGGCAATGGTGCATGGTAGTTTCCTCTTTTCTTTTCTTTTTCTTTCCTTTGTTCCTCTCATTTCCAGTGATGTGTAGCATTGGTTGCAATGTAAGAAAAAGGCATTGTTGCAAAATTTCAAAAGGTTTTTAAATGTATTTTAAGTTTTTAAGTCATTAATTTCATATATTTTGTGTGTGTTTTAGGAGCCTCCAAAGCAGCATTTCTCAACCTGGGGGTTGGGACCCCTGGGGGTCGTGAGGGGGTGTTAGAGGGGCTGCCAAAGATCTGTTGTTGATGGTGGTTCTGTGTGGGAATGGCCCAATTCTATTGTTGATGGAGTTCAGAATTCTTTGATTGTAGGTGAACTATAAATCTCAGCAATGACAATTCCCAAATGTTGAGTCTATTTTCTCCAAACTCCACCATGATTCACATTTGGGCATATTGAGTATCTGTGCCAAGTTTGGTCCAGATCCATCATTGTTTGAGTCCACAGTGCTCTCTGGATATAGGTGAACTACCACATCAAAACTTAAGGGCAATGCCCACCAAACACTTCCAGTTGTTTCTGTTGGTCATGGGAGTTCTGTGTGCCAAGTTTGGTTCAATTCCATTGTTGGTAGAGTTCAGAATGCTCTTTGATTGTAGGTGAACTATAAATCCCAGCAACTACAACTCCCAAATGACAAAATCAATCCCCCCTTCAACCTCACCAGTATTCAAATTTGGGTGTAATGGGTATTTGTGCCAAATTTGGTCCAGTGAATGAAAATACATCCTGCAAATCAGATATTTACATTGCAATGCACAACACTAGAAAAATTGCAGTTATGAAGTAGCAAGAAAAATATTTTTATGGTTGGGGGTCACCACAACATGAGGAACTGTATTAGGGGGTTGTGGCATTAGGAAGGTTGAGAACACCTGCTCTAAAGAAAGCGCTAAATTCCCAAAATGTATTAGGCGTAATAAATACATCAGGTGCTTTGAGATCTGTGTTTCCCTGGTATTACACACAGAGACATACATTTTAAGAATATCAGAATCTATTTGCAAATTGTATTCTCAGAAAGCCGTTGCAACCAATATCTGTTGCCAATCTCCATTCTTGATCCAGCATTTCCTGGCTCTTAATAGGATTTCATCCACAGCTATAAAACCTCTTACCAGTAATAACCTAAATTGCGATTATTCATTCTATTTCTTGAGTAAACATTTGTCCTTTCTTTTGATTACTGTGCAAATGATTGGCATTCCAATTTCTCTGTTGGCCTGGCCTAATAACCCCATCTCTTTCCTGCCATTAGGTAAATAATTACAGTTTAGAAGAAGTAACGCATGAAGAAGCAGTAGCAATATTGAAGAATACATCTGACGTAGTTTATTTAAAAGTTGGGAAGCCTACCACCATTTACATGACTGATCCCTATGGCCCACCAGATATTACCCATCGTAAGTATTATTTTCCTTTTTTTAAAAAAAAATAATGTCATTATATTGTTAGAAATCATTTTTGGAGAACCTTTTAAGTATAATGGCTAAGGGCTAAGTGGTAATGATTATCAAATATCTCAGTATCACTTTACTTTATTAAGAAAGGTCATGATGTGGACTTACACACACATACACCTTGGCTCAATTTACTTCTAGTTTATTTCCGCATCTTAAAAAGGCTTCTTCTGGGACTAGACAACTCATAGGGGCAAGCTGGGGAAATTACTCCTCACTTTCAGAAGTGGAGGAAGACATTTTTACTCAAACCTGTTCAAATTGGAAGGTGATGTTGTGATATGGGTACACTGGGAGGGCGACCCATTTGGGGTGTGGAGGGAGGTTAAGGTTGTGAGTTCAGAATTCTTCCAAGCTGTGAGGTTTCCAGGCCAAAATTTGAAGCTCAAAGGTTTTGGCCCTGAATTATCTAAAGAGCCCCCAAAGGTGCAGCGGGTTAAACTGCTGAGCTGCTGAACGGGTTGATCGAAAGGTCAGCGGTTCAAATCCAGGAAGCGGAGTGAGCTCCCGCTATTAGCCCCAGCTTTTGCCAACCTATAATAAATTGTAATAATAAACGTTATTTGTACCCCGCCACCATCTCCCCAAAGGGGACTCATTATTCGATGTGTATTTTCAAGGCCAATGTGCATGAACATTTGTATGTGCAGCTTTTATTTATTTATTTATTTATTTCGAGTGCTTCTACCCCACCCTTCTCAACCCCCTAGGGGGGACTCAGGGTGGCTTACAATAGGCACAATTAGATGCCTAACAATTCACAAAATACAATATACAAAATACAATATAACAACAATTATAAATAGTTAAAACAATCAAATGAATACCATCGCAGCAATAAAATCATCTTGTGAAATCAGCTTTCCTTCTGCAGTCTTAGAATCATAGAATCCTAGAGTTGGAAGAGACCTCATGGGCCATTCAGTCCCAAGCCCCTGCCAAGAAGCAGGAAAATCACATTTAAAGCACCCCCAACAGATGGCCATCCAGCCTCTGTTTAAAAGCCTTCAAAGAAGGAGCCTCCACCAAACCCTGGGGCAGAGAGTTCCACTGTTGTACAGCTCTTACCGTTAGGAAGCCTTGAATGCAGTACAGGTGTTCTGCTTCCACAGAAAAATGTCCAACCACTTCTGTAAAGGAAACTGCAAGTTGGCAAAAGATTTTGGATATTGTAGATCGAAAACATGACACTACTTTTCTATCTTCTTTCTGTATGTTCCCCCTCTTCCCATGTGTATGTGTTGAAAATGATCAATAACAAATTATATATATATAAAAAGAAAACGTGACACTGAACTGCATTAATGTCAAATCTCACTAACAGTAAATGCCTGTGTTTCACTTCCAGCTTATTCCCCAGCAATGGATAACCATATATTGTCTTCAGGCAACAATGGCACTTTAGAATACAAGGCGTCTATGGCCCCCATCTCTCCAGGAAGATATTCGCCTATCCCAAAGCACATGCTAGTGGAGGATGACTATACCAGGTCAGACATCCATCTTTACTTTCCTGCCTTTAATTGAGTCCTTGCTTTAGGGAATATGGTTTTAAGATGATCATTAGAATCACCCTCAGGGCAGAAGCCATGAAGCCATCATCTTATGTAGGAAAGAAATATGAGTCTGACATCCATTTAGCTACTCTATAGATAAGCAGGGAGTCGGTGCTTATATTCTAACATTGGGAGGGAGGAGTTAGCTACCCTTTTTCTTCATCCTTGTTTTTGCCATTGCCCCTGGGTCCACATGGCTCTTTAATCATTTTCAAGGTACTGGCATTGGGACATCTGCTCGCCTGTAGTCCCCGCACCAACACCAATCTCCCTTTGCCTTTATGCTCCCCAATGACTCATAATGCATGCATTGAAGTTGCTTTGGAGGGACAACTCTCTCATCTGTTCCTCTAGCAGCAATAAATGTGCTTCCCTGTTTGGATAGCTAGCTATACCCCTGTAACCCAGTGGTTGTCAACCTGTATGTCCACAGATGTTTTGGCCTTCAACTCCCAGAAATACTAACAGCTGGTAAATTGGCTGAGATTTCTGGGACTTGTAGACCAAAACATCTGGGGACCCACAGGTTGACAACCACTGCTGTAGCCCATTGCAGAAGAAATTTCAAAACTGTCCATTGCATGGCAAAGCAGATTTCATTTTATATACCTTTGTAATGATCTTCTGCTGAATCAGTTCATTTAGACCTAATCACAAATGCAAACGATTCCAGTCCATTAAGGTTCAAATGCACGTGGTTCCCCTGATTGTTTGGACTGTTTAATACACTCTAATTGTTTGGATTGTTCATCAATAGCATTTGTCTTTTCCCCATAGTACAGTCTCTCCTGTCCAAAATACATGTGTACTTTTTCTTATACGCTGGTTTTTCAACATTTATGAATGATATGACTATGACAAGGACATCGTGGTTATTTTAAGAGCCATCTTATTATCTTGTCTTTGTATGTGACAGCTTTCCAATTGTAGTGAATGGATTCCTGATTGCAGTATTTTTAATGCTAGTGATCTATCCTCCATTGCAATGGTTTGCTGCAGTGTTAATACATCATAATTTGGGTTATTATATTTAACACTGTGACTGAAATGTTATATAACAGATTGAAAGAAGGGATCTCTAAGATCATTCTGAATACCTGCATCAAACTATAATTCCTAAAGTTTTGAGAGATTCTCTAATTCAGTGGTTCTCAACCTGAGGGTCCCCGGGTGGTTTGGCCTACAAATTCCAGAAATCCCAAGCAGTTTACCAGATCTTAGGATTTCTGGGAGTTGAAGACCAAAACATCTGGGGACCCATAGGTTGAGAACCACTGCCCTAATTGATACAGTCAACCTTAAGGCTACAGTATGACTTCCATCTAGAAGTTGAATGCCTTATGCCAGTGATGGCGAACCTATAGCATGCATGCCAGAAGCACCCTCTCAGCTGTCACCTGCTTACCGTCATGCCCCAAGTTGCCTCCTCATTCATCCACTCCCTTGCTCGCTTGCCTGTTTGCCTGCCCCCCTGCTCACTCGCTCGCTCGCCCGACCAACCCGCACTTACCTGCTCACCCATTTGTCTGCCACCCATTGCTCACTCGCCTGCCCACCCTCACTCACCCATTTGCTCTCCCATCTGCCCACTGCTTGCTTGCCCACCCCCCCCCTCCCCACTCCCCCCCCCCCCCCCCCCCGGTGGCCCAGGGGTCATGATCCTTGACTCACCAAACCCCCAGGTGCACCCCTACTCCAGTTTGAGCACTTCAAAGGTTCACCATCTCTGCCCAACTGCCTCACGCTCAGCTGCTCACTCATTTCTGTGCCCGCGTTGCTCGCTCGCCTGCCTGCCCCCCACTCACCTGCTTGCTCTCCCACCTGCCCCCTACCTGTATGCCCCTGTTTGCCTTCTCACTTGCTAGCTGCTCCCTGCTCGCTTGCTCACTCCACCTGCTCACCCCCCCAAGGGGTCAACACCTCTCTCTCTTATCAAACCCCCAGGTGCACCCCTCCCCCAGTTTGAGTACTTCAAAGGTTCACCATCACTGCCCAGTACTATTGATATAATGTTATTCTTTTTCTTCCAACGATTTCCATTTCATACAAATGACCCTTGATCTATGTTGTTTTATGATTCATTCTGGTGGCTGCAAGAAGGGAATTATGTTAGACAGACGGGAACATGGAAAATTCAAAACTGGTGCTGGACAGAATTCCATCATTTTATCAAGTATATATTTGCTTCTGCCACTGAGGACCATTCACTCATTATTCAGGAAGAGGTTTAATAGAGTTTCAGCCACTTCTGTTTTTGTTATAAGTTTGCCAGCCTAGTTTCTGCACTGGTGAACAAATGTTTCACATTTGGAATAGAGCTCGAAATTTGGCAGCAAACCCTGGTCTGAGAGCCTGATTTACCAGTTCTGTGTAACAAAGTGGGCATCGGGAGAAAAGTGAAAAGTGAAGCATTCTTTCTCCTAGTGATTCCCCCTAAGATGCTTTTTCTGCATTTGAGGCTACACTTAACCCTAGATGTAAGAACAAGCACATGGATAGTTGTTGTTCATTCGTTCAGTCATCTCCGACTCTTCGTGACCTCATGGACCAGCCCACTCCAGAGCTCCCTGTCGGCCGTCACCACCCCCAGCTCCTTCAAGGTCAGTCCAGTCACTTCAAGGATGCCATCCATCCATCTTGCCCTTGGTCGGCCCCTCTTCCTTTACCTTCCACTTTCCCCAGCATAATTGTCTTCTCTAGGCTTTGCTGTCTCCTCATGATGTGGCCAAAGTACTTCCTTTGTCTCTAGTATCCTTCCCTCCAATGAGCAGTCGGGTTTTATTTCCTGGAGGATGGACTGGTTGGATCTTCTCACAGTCCGAGGCACTCTCAGAACTTTCCTCCAACACCACAGTTCAAAGGCATCTATCTTCCTTCGCTCGGCCTTCCCTAAGGTCCAGCTCTCACATCCGTGAGATGGATAGTAGCTACAAAAAAAGAGGAACCCTAAGAAAAGAAAGGGTACAGCATCAACTTTGAAACGATATAGCTGCTTTGAGTCTCTTTGTGGAGAAGAAATGGGGAATAAATAAATATAATAATAAGAGACTTCTCCAACCACCTTGCAATTGTAAGCACATATTTATTTGGGGCTCTCCTCCCCTGGTTTGGGTGGTTGATTTGCCTTACTGGCAACTTACTTTGTAATATACCTTCAAGTGAATTCTGACTTTCCTAGGATACACTCTCCTAGGATTTCGTGGCAAAATATTTTGAGAAAACTTTGATCATTGCCTCCATCCAAACATACAAAGCGTGTGACTTCGCCAAGATCATAATGTGGGTTTCCATGGGCCAATGGAGATTTGAATGCTAGCCTCCTGTAGTCCTAGCTCAACACCCACACCTATTCACCATGGTGTCTCAGTTATTGGGAGAAAGCAGTGGCCTTTATTGTTTCCAACAATACTTTGGCTGTTGAATTACATGGCACGGTGTTCTAGGAGGAACAATTGTCACCTCCCCAAAAAGGTGACCTTCATAAATTTTTGTAGGAAAGTGAACCCTCTTTTATCTTATTCCTGCAAGGCCAACTCCACAATGCTTTTCCTTGCCCATTTTTTATTGTGTCAGAAGCCACAGTGACGCAATGGGTTAACCCAGTGGTTCTCAACCTGTGAGTCTCCAAATAGTTGGCCTTCAACTCCCAGAAATCCTTACAGCTGGTAAACGGGCTGGGATTTCTGGGAGTTGTAGCCCAAAACACCCGGGGACCCACAGGATGAGAACTATTGGGTTAAACCCTTGTACCAGCTGAATTGCTGACCTTAAGGTTGGCAGTTCGAATCCATGAGATGGGACAAGCTACCATCTGTCAGTTCCAGCTTCCCATATAAAGACAATGGAGAAGCCTCCCACAGGATGGTAAAACATCCGGGCATCCCCTGGGCAACGTCCCTGCAGATGGCCAATTCTCTCACATCAGAAGCGACTTGCAGTTTCCTTACCCATAAGACAATGAATATCTTTTGTAGTTGAGGTGGTCAGTCCCAAGTAGAGCTTATGTATTTCCAGGTAACTGCAAGAATATAAAGCCCAAAATTGTTCCAGCGCAGCTTACCTGTCTGAAAACATCTCTCCTTATGAACCATCTAAGAACTTAAGATCATCTGGGGAGGCCCTGCTCACGATCCCGCCTTCCTCGCAGGCGCGGTTGGCAGGGATGAGATACAGAGTCTTCTCAGTGGTGGCCCCTCGGCTGTGGAGCTCCCTTCCTAGGGATATTAGATCAGCCCCCTCCCTCCTGACCTTTTGAGAAAGAGTAAAAACTTGGCTATTCGAACAAGCTTTTGGAAACGCAGCGTAACAGATAAATACAGGACAATGAAATAACGAACATGGAACAGCTTAAATGATGTAAATGGATAAGGAGTTGAACTGAAAGACTTTGATTATTATAGTTTTAATATGGATTTTATTATGTGATATTGAATGTTTTTAATTGCTATGTGTATATATATATATATATGCTGGGGCATCTAATTGTTGCCAATCTGTACGCCAACCTGAGTCACCTTTGGGCTGAGAAAGGCGGGATAAAAATGCTGTAAATAAATAAATAAATAAATAAATATGGGAAGAATAAATGGAAATATTTTTTAAATGATTTCATCAACAATAGGATTGAATCCCGGGCTCACGGGCCTGCGTTTGCTGCCAAGCATGTCGGCTACATATATTTTTTTACAAAGGTAATGAGTGAAGTGGTCCTCATTAGGGAGCCCTGTGCCAGTCAAAGCTCTCTCTCTCTCTCTCTCTCTCTCTTCTGGGTCCCTTGTTGATATTGGCCCTAGTGACCTCTCTCTCTTTTTGCAGATATGACTTCCCTTGGTAGGTGTGTCCCACTGGAACAGGGATCACTGCCAGCCAATAAGGGAATTCTCATGAGTGCAAGAGATACAATCAATCACTGAGACAAACAAATAAGCAAAGCA